TGCAATAGAACAAATTTGAATTGCAATAGTCTTTTTTTATATTATGATAATATTCGTGGATTGTTTATTAGTATATAAAATCTCGAAGATGGCAATATAACGAGAGCCTATTGTACTAGTATTTCCACGTATACACATCAATTGTCAGATTAAATAGATCAAATTTGAATAACAATGGTCTCCTTCTATATTGTGGCAATAGATAGATAAATACAATAGATCAAATTCGAAGATTGCAATATAACGAGAGTCTATTGTATTTCCGTTTCCACGTTCATCAATTATCAAATCAAATAAATGCAATAGTTCAAATTTGAATGACAGTAGTCTCCTTCTACATTCCAACAATATGCATAGATTTTTGTTTACAATGAAACGTGTGATAATAGTATACGAAAACTCATTCGAAGATGGCAATACAACGAGAGTCTGCTGTACCTCCATTCGCACGTACATCAATAAATACAATTACTGACTTTCCTTAAGCTTGCTCGTCGTACTGCACACCAATTTCATTAGTGTCATAGTAATCACAGACTGTAACTATAAAGGGAAATACACAAAGTTGGTACAATTTAGAATTTAACTTGAATAGCATAGGAAAAACTCACACAAATAATATCTATTTGTAATTCAACTTTGATTCACTATATTTTCATATTTTTATATAAACACACAATATAGTAAAATATAGTGAAACTTACTATTATGTTACTATGTGAGAAATTAGGCCAAACTAGACCTTTTAAATAAAATTTTTACCTTTCGGTTACGTCATCATATAAGGACGTGTTAAGTAAATGCTTTGTATATCTAAATTCTATTCTTGGTAAATTTTATTATTTGTAAACATTGTCATAACCATAGATTCTATTTCTGTATAATATCTCGAAAATGTTGTATACAAATATTGTAAACAATCATAATGCAATTCAAAGAACTGCTTAGCAAAGTCTTGATTTTTTTCAGGTTACAAATAATTCATAACCGACAGGTTTAACTCTTTGCACTCCTATGTCGAATGACTCGTCATCACATTTCTCTTAGATCTCATAAATAATTCAGATAAATAGTTTAATTGAGTATGTATATTGTCATTTATTTATTACTTGTAATAAAATAAAAGTGTATGTATCATATACATACCGCCTTGTTGCAATACACTTTATTGAGAATCCCTATTTTTATAAATTTTGTAAATTAAAGAGTTGATAGGTAAAAGAAATTAAGAAATATAAAAGGTTAATACACATCAACGTTATCAAACTTTATCATTATCGTCCATAAAAAGGACTAACGAAAATGAGGATATCATCAGTTAAAATTAATGGGATCATAAGTTCCTTAATAATTACCATAGAAATTTCAGCTCGTGATCACGAGTCGCACCACGTCTCCCGTTGATCCCTTATCCGAATACCGTCGTGAATTTGATAAATTTCCATAGTAAGGGCAAAGGTCGTATCTATTTCGATTTCAGATGAATTACTTTCGGCTGAAATGGAATTACGAGATACGGAACATCTCCCGTGGTTGGATATTACCGTTCGCATGAATCTTCGACATCCGCCCGATCCTCCGGGGTGCCTTTAAGGACGTCCGCATGAACTTATACCGTCGACACCTTTACCGCACCTTCCGAAATGATATTTCGCTCCTGGGTCCACGGACATCTTCATGGATAATTTATGCTTTCGATCAAAATTTTGTGATCAGCAAAATGCAGATGCATGGATAGTGTTTGAGAAATAGGAATGTAAGTGTGAAACATGAAATTAAAAGATGCTTTATTTAAATACGTTGTCTAATACTTCATTTAAATATGTGATCTAACACTTCATTTAAACACGTTGTCCTACACTTATTTCAACCCTTAACGATCACACGTTATCAAAATAACATACTTGGCACGATAGGACATTTATGACCCCAGTCACTGAAAATGTTTCTAACAAAGAAGCTTCTAATGAAGAAACATTTAATAAGCATTTAATAAAGAAACATTTTAACTTAAAACAAAAATGGCAAATAATCTTTGAAAGTTGTTTTAACATATTTCACAGCTGTTTTCAACAAATTTAAGCTTGAATATGAACAAAATTCAAAAACGTGAAAAAATTGAAAAAATGTTAGCAGAAAAATTAAAAAAAAAATTCTTTCGATTTTAATATAAAGAGCTAAAATTTTAGCTGAACTCTCTTAAAATTTTGAGGGAAAAAATAATAAAAATACTGGGATTTCGAAAAAGTTATTTATTCATATTTTCAGAACAATTATTGTAAATATTGTAATCAAAATTATATTATTTTTGAGATGAATAAAAATTGTTTTGAATGACCTTAGTATTATTATTTATACGTCATTGTGGCATTTAAAATCTGGCACTTAAAAACTTACAGTCTAAGTATGATGAGAACAAGTTGAAATTGCCAGTCTATATTCAAATTAAAAATCGAAGCATTAAGGGTAAATTTTCCATTCATCACAAAAAAATAAATCTGATCACTGTATTACCTCTTCTTCAAAAATAAACCTCTCGAATTTCACAAACATTCTCCTGAATCTTGCAAGCCCTATTTTTGACCCTGCACAGCAGGTAGCTACCCCTAAAATCATATACAAATTAACAACCTCCATCAATCTTCAGTAACTCATTAAAACCCCAATGTAACACTTGAGACGATGCCTTGTTTTAACACATGATTTACTGCCAGATGTAAATTTATTACAGATTAAAATGCAATAGTTTGCACAGAATGATAAGGTACAAGGTGCCTCTCTAAGTTTCCACGGGGACACACAAACAGATGTTCGTTATAGTTTACCAACTAATATCGATTAATTTCCTACGATCATTCCTTTCCTTCCTGGCTCCAGCTACTCGAAATGTTCCTCCTGTTTCTGACACAATTTGTGGTTCATGGTACGCGGCAAGTAATAGCCAAAGCAATTGCAGGGACCGCAGATAAACGCTACGGGAGTGTTCATCGACGCGTAAATCGGTCGATTCTCGGACGGACATCAAATTAAGCAACGATCCGAGCAAGCCAATGGACGAGGAAGCGGGAATATCTCGACACGAAGAAATCATTTTGTGTCCGACTTAATCGACTTTTTCGCACTCGGGACGCGTATCAATTTATTTAACGTTTTTCAAGGGGGATGGATCACTGATTTGGTATTTTCTGATTGAAAATTTGAAGAGTTTTAGAAACTTAATAATTTAATTAGTAATGTGAGTGTTAATAAGTTTCTTTGGAGTTTGAGAGCTTGAGAATTTATGCTGTTTGAGAGGTTAAGAACCTTCTAAGTTAAATGTTGAGAAATATAGGAGGTTTCAAAATTTAGAAAGTTTGGAATTTTCGAACATTTGGAAATTTGGGGATTTGAAGATTTGGAAAGGTTGAAATTTGGTATCTTGAAATTTCGTTGTTTGGAAGTTGAAGATTTAGTAATTTAGTTATTTACAAATTTAAGAAATTTTGTGTTCATAAGTTTGGAGTTTTAGGAATTTGGGAATTTGGGGACTGGGAATTTAAGAATTTTGGAATTTGGGGATTTGGAAATTTGGGGATTTGGAAATTTGGGGATGTGAGAATTTGGGGATGTGGGAATTGGGGAATGTAGGAATTTGGGAAAGTGGAAATTTGGGAATGTGGGAATTGGAGAATGTGAGAATTTGGGGAAGTAGAAATTTGGGGATGTGGGAATTTGGGGAAGTGGAAATTTGGGAATTTTGGAATTTGGGGATGTGGGAATTTGGGGATTTTGGAATTTGGGGATGTAGGAATTGGGGAATGCGGAAATTGGGGAATGTGGGAATTGGGGAATGTGGGAATTTGGGAAAGTGGAAATTTGGGAATGTAGGAATTGGAGAATGTGAGAATTTGGGGAAGTAGAAATTTGGGGATGTAGGAATTTGGGGAATGTGGGAATTGGAGAATGTGAGAATTTGGGGAAGTAGAAATTTGGGGATGTGGGAATTTGGGGAAGTGGACATTTAGGGATGTGGGAATTTGACGAAGTAGAAATTTGGGGATGTGGGAATTTGAGGAAGTGGAAATTTGGGGATTTGGAAATTTGGGAATTTTGAAATTTGATAATTTGATATTTTGGGGATGTGGAAATTTAAGGATTTGTAAATTTGTAAATTTGTAAATTTGAAAATTTGAGAATTTGTAAATCTTGAGAATTCGAAAATTTGGAATATAAAAATTGTAAATCTTGAAAATTCGAAAATTTGTAAATGTCCATAATTTGAAAATATAAAAATCTCCAAAGTGAAAAAAAATTAGAAACTGTTAAAATTCAAGAATTTATACATTTTACAATTTAGTGGTTATAAATCATCACATATTAAAACAGATAAATTAAACACTCTCCTAGTTATCAAACTGCCTTTCAAAAAGATTACTTTTCAATGAGATGCTTAAAAATCATCATCAAGATAATAGCCAATATAAAACGAACTTAAATACCCATAAAAAATAATAGAATCCTCCAGAGCCTCATTCAGCAAAGAATTTCAATCATTTCACCCTTCGATCGTTTAACCCTCTCAGAGTTAAATTAATTCTACTCCTTCCTTATCACGTTTATACACCCTCTGAGTTACGTGTCAATTTACTTAAATTTACTCATTTCACTTTACACATTTCTACTACGCAAAAACTTCCCCCAACCAATCACATCCCCCGAAAATTTTCCCAAATTTGCAACAATAAAATATAAGGAAAATGTGAGAAAAACGAGGAACAGTTTCTGGCAGCAATCAGCGACAGCACGCTCGCATGTACGCGCAAAACAGCGTTCGTGGTCGCAAATATTGACAGACATTACTGTCACCGACAAAAACGACAGAGCAGAGAGGAAGCTCGAAAACACGAAGAGTACACATAGAAATTCTGCCAAGTACACTGTTATATTTTCATTACAGCGTCGTATCGCCACCTCTGGCAAATAGAATGAGTCTGCACCCTTTCCCGTCGCCCCAATCGAGCTCATCTGCTTGCAGAGTGTACGAGGAAACAATTTCTTGGGGTTGGAGCCGCCATGTTGAAACCACCCCCGCAGAATTTCTTCGCGCTACGAGTTATCACCGGCAGAACAGTATCGGGTCTGTGTTTCTGTTCCTTCGATTTCTGCAACTTTCGCTTCTGACTGTAATACTTTTTCTTCAGGTCCGCCATCTCGGTGTTCATCTTCTCGATTTCGTCTTTGTAGTCGTTTATCTGGACGTCGTACATGTTGAGCTCCGCGAGCAAACCCTAAGAAAACAATTTTATAAATTAGATATTTTTTTTATTCTTTTTATGATTCAAGACCTTTTTATGATAACAAAAGCAGTCAAAATGATTTCTAGATTCACATTTTACCTTCATCTTTTCTCCCCTCTCACGCAAAGCCTTTTGAGTTTTGTTAAGAGATATCGTCACCTCGGGTCCTGGGTGTTTCGATAAGATCTCACGAAGATTCACGTACAATTTCTCCGTGTCTTTCACCTTCTTTTCTTTTTCTATCATGTCACTGGCCATTTTGATCACACGCTTCTGGAGAATTTGAATTTTCCTCACCAGTTCGTAGGTGGGAGGATCGGAACCCTGTGAAAATTCAACCAGCGTTCGTCAAATGTTGATTTAGTAATGGCGCTATTTCTTCACCGTTTGTTTTAAATTTAGTGCAATGGAAAAAGATAAGAATGTTAAATTTACTGAAGACATTTTTTTTTATATATTAAATTATACTTGACATTTGTGTTATACAATTATACTTCATATTACAGGATACTGATTTTTCTTTTTCTTTTTAATATTGTTTTTTGTATTTTTTTTTTTTTTATATTATATTAATATGTACTTTACGTAAAATGTAAAATTTGGAAATTTAGAGATTTGTACATTTAGGGCTTTGTATTTAGAGTTTATGAATTTAGAAATTTTTGATTAATTATCACATTTCTGCTACTAAACAAAAATCCTTAAAAATAATTAAAACAAAGTAGAAAATGTATAGCAGAATGTAACAGAGGACTTACCTGAAGTTTCCTCCATCTGTGAATATTCAACGGAGTTTGCACCTCTTCTTCCAACGCCATAACCTTCAACCTCTCCCTCGTGAGATCACGGTTCAAATGAAACACCTCTTGACGCAAATCACTCATGTTCTCTATGTTCTTCGTCAACAAAGTCCTCTCGGTTCTCAGTTTGTTCACCTCCAACTTCAGCAATCTAATATCCTCCAGCCTCTGATTATACTGAACTTCACCGCGTTGAAGAGTCCCGTGCAAAACTTTTATTCTGCTATACTGAAGACTCAACTCGTCGTTTCTTCTAACTAGTTGCGTGCCGATGATGTCCCTCTCGTTCATCACGTTGTCTATGTCCTTCTTGTGGCGTCCGATGTCGGACTCAGCCTTCGAAATCACCTGTCTAAGACTCTTCTCTTCCTGTTTCATCTTCTCTATCTCGTGTCGGAGCTCGCTCACGTCTTTGCGGGCAGATTGCAGATCCACCCTTAGGGCTTCCTTCTCTTTTTCCACCCTGTTGCGGACTGGAAGATTAATGATTGCGTGAGAAGGTGCTTCCCTTTGGGAATCTCGGCAAATGACCCCCCGGGACGCTTTTGAATAATTCGATAAAAGTATCTTTCTTAGCTATTTCGTGGGATTTTACCTTGGTTAATTTGGTCGAATAACTTTCTGGTTTTGGATGAATTTTTGTTGATATTATGTTATAATAAATTGTACTTTATATGGTCATGTTTTATATAGGGGGATTTTGTTTGGGGTATTTTCGTGCAAAGTTAATCATGTTATAACATGTATTACACATGTATATATGGTATTAAATATTGAACATTCATATAGTGTACATAACGTATTGCATAGTGTACATATAATGGCTGTAAAATTACATTTCACATATGCACATAATGCATTATGTATGACACATCGTATATGCATATAGTCAATGTAACATCACATATCACATGTACACATAATACATAACATATCATACATCCATATAATGCACATAACATATCACATACTGTATATACATATAATGGGTACAACATCACATATGATATATGTAATTTTTATAGCATATAATCTACCATATATACATATAGTACATGCATATAATATATCACATATGCTTACACTGTATAATGTGTCAGATAGCATGTATGCATCTAATGCACTAAACATATACCACATATATACTCATTCTGCATATGACATATCTCATATCGCATACACATATGATACATATAATGTCTTATACCACAACATACATACATGTGACTATTGTGTAGCATAACATATATGAATACAACTGCTGTATAATATATCACACATGCATATAACTGTCATATAACTTATCACATATGCATATAACTGCCACATAACATATCACACATGCACATAACTGCTTTAAAACATATACATACATAAAAACATCAACAATCGAAGCTTCAAAATTAAAAACAACTTACGGAATTCTTCTTTGACCAAATTCGTTTCCTTCGTCACAATATCTTCTTTTAATAGTTCAATCTGATGATTGAGCACCGCTAACTTGTTCCTCAATTCCTGTATCTCGTCCTGTGCTTCTATTAAGCTCTTGCTGTATGTATTTCGCTCGGCACGGACAGCTTCAAATAGATTCTGCTGCTGACGGAACCTTGTCTCGGCCTCTGCCAGCCGTTTCTTGTAACTGGAGATCTCGACCTGCTTTAGCTTAACCTCGCTTATGTACTCCTCGACCTGTTAACGCAACCATGTACGATCAAGGGCATGCAAATTCGTGCTAATACCTAATGTTAATTTGAGAAATATGTTCTTTTTTATATTTTTAAATGGTATTTGTGTGTGCTGCTTCTTTTTTTGTGAAGTTATTGATATAGATATTGATATTGTTAAAATGTTTAAATGTTATTAAAATTTTAAAGGAATCTTAAATAAATAAATCTTTAAATTCCTAAAGTTCCAAAGTGTTGAATCTCCATATTCTTAAACCTTCAAATTCCACAATGTGTAACTTCTACAAATTCTCAAATCCTGGAATATAAAAATATAAAAATATCGAAAAACCCAAATGCTCAAATCTTAAAATACTAAAATCTCCAAATCTTCACATCCTCAATTCCTAAATCCCCATATACTTAAATTTCCAAATTTCTACATCCCCAAATTCTCACAGCCCCAAATTCCCACACCCCCCAATTCTCACATCCCCCAATTCCTACATCCCAAAATTTCCACTTCCCCAAATTCCAAAATCCCCAAATTGTTAAATTCCTAAATTTTCAAATCCCCAGATTCCCACGTCCCCCAATTCCTACATCCCCCAATTTCCTCATCCCCCAATTCCCACATCCCCAAATTTCCACTTCCCCAAATTCTTAAATTCCTAAATTTCCAAATTCCCAAATTCTCACATCCCCAAATTCCCACATCCCCCAATTCCCACATCCCCCAATTTCTACATCCCCCAATTCCCACATCCCCCAATTCCCACATCCCCAAATTTCCACTTCCCCGAATTCCAAAATCCCCAAATTTCCACTTCCCCGAATTCCAAAATCCCCAAATTCTTAAATTCCTAAATTTCCAAATCCCCAAATTCCCACATCCCCAAATTCCCACATCCCCCAATTCCCACA